TCTGTGGGTAAGCCCTCTGAATTTTTTTAAATTTTGGTGCAAGCTTCTGTGTAAACCCACTTTCCCTTCTTGTTTTGATGGACTTTTATATTCATGAACTTGGAGCTATTGGGCTGTAATAATTGTGATTTGAGATTTCACTGAAAAACTTGAATAGAGCTTTAATGTTGCAACTCTCATTGATGTTGGAATTGTTAAGCTTGAGGGTAAAAAAAAAAATTAACCCATGAATTTGGATAAATCAACACTTGTTTGGGCTTTGCATTCTTGGAATATGCTGTGGGACTTGCTTAAATGGTTTTTTTTGAGTTGAAACTTGCCAAAGAAATTTTGAGCTATGAACATTGACGTGGGAGGAACATTCTTGTAATTTGCATGACAATCTATTGAATCTTGCTACGGATGAGAAATGTAAAATACTTTGGTGGATCTTGGGCTTGAAATTTGTTATTGAACTTCACTCTATCCAAAGTTTGAGCCCTGTATAAGTTGGATCTTTAATATGAAGCACAACAATTTTGAGAAAATGACCTGCTTGAATTTCATCACAAAACGGCCTATGACATTGCACTTCTTATTGACGACAGAAACTTGAAATCTATATGTTGATGATACATACATTGGTATTGCAATTTGTTGAGCTTGAAGATGTTGAGTGAATCGTGAACCCATATTGTTGAATTTGGTATAAATAAAATATTTAATACCCCACGGACACTTTACTTGAGATAATGACGTCATGATAACTGTTAGAACCATATATGGTCATTCACTGGGCTTGTGGATACCCCGAGAAATAGACAGTTGATGTCGAAATTTCATTTGAATGTGTTGCTTCAATTCCAATATTCTGAATTTTGATATGGTCGACTCCTTGCTATTTATACCTATTATTTCAGCTATATGTGCCTCCGACGTCCAAGTGGAGGAAATCTCCTTATTTTGGTCGAAATGACCCATTCTGGCGAGCGGCTACCTCCACTACTTCTCTTCTATGTCCGAAGGGGACTCCATTGTGTATCTCTGAGGATATTGATTCCAGTCATGGGGCCCTTATTTCCTCTTCCTCGGTGCTACGCTTTAGGGTTGAACGAGGGGACTTTCCTTACTGTTATCTCTAGTTCAAGACTTTCTCCAACCCTCCTTTTGGTTGGCAGGAATAGGTCGATGATGTCCTCTCGGATAGGGGCCTCTGTCAGAGGCTTCAGGAGGCCCAGTTATTGATCCCGATGAAGATATCTCGATCTTTATCCATTCGCTGCAACAATGCTAGCCTCGAAGCCATGGCTCTCTGGTGGAGCATCGAGACACACACTTTCATACTTGGCCAGCATGAGATGGAGCCCACCCTCGAGGGTGTGTTCATGCTGTTGCGCCTAGAAGTGACTGGCCTTGAGGCCTTTTATCCTGAGCAGATACCTTCTGAGGATGATTCTCTAATCCAGTCCCTAAAGCAAAATCTTCAAGCTTGTGGTCAGTGGAGCTTTGTATTTGATGGTTTAGCGAGGAGGACCAAACGAGTGAAGACGAACCATGCCTCCTACACTGCATGGATCCGCTATTTCTTTAGAGATCTTCAGCCCCTGGCTAAAGATGCTAACCCTGGTTTTCAGGAGTACGAGGTCGGCCCGATGTATGGCTTTAGGCTCTATTTTCTGGGATTTCTGGCCTGCTTCCTCTTATTCTTCATTCTTCCGAGCACACCTCTAGATTCTCTCAATTCTTTTGTCTTTCCATTGGCAGTTAGGTTCTTCAAAGGGGATCGGATCCCCTTGGCCCCATTATTTCTTGGGAACCTTTATTATTGGTTGGATCTACTACATTGAAACATGGTATGTTCTATAGGTAGGTATGAGCCTATCGCTTTCGTCCACCGTCAGTTCCTGCTCTGTTTTCTTTTTGAGAGGTTCCCAAAGTTTGCCCTTACTGTGAATGTATTCGAGGCAGAAGTTTTCCAAGAGATAGTGGATAAAAAGGGTATCCCCATGCTCGGTAATGACGGGTCTTGCACATTTGAGAAAGCGAAGTCTTGCCAGTCGTTGATCACACGTTGTTCATGTGTCATTTCCACCCTATCCTTGAATACTTTGGTGGATGATCCTAGGCGCTTTGTGGGATGCCCCTATGTATGCCCACCGGTTGGTGTGGCGACGCTACTTATCTATCATGGCTCCTTTTGACTAGTGTCATTTCCCTTGCCAAAGTGCATTTCTGCGCATCTTGTTAATATGTTGATAATGGTTTCTCTCAGTTTGCTACCAGTATGGCATGAAGAAGGCCTTGATAGTACCATTTATAGACCTGACAGAGTAGCATGCCAATTCAGGTTTGACCAGTGTGCCCCGGGGCCAGCACCTCATTTATTGTCTTTTTCAGAAAGCTACGGGCGCTTTACTTACGAACTTGTACACACCATGCTTTTTGTATCTGGCTCTTTGATGATGCCGGGTTTGAGCTAAGTAGAGGTTTCACCCCGTCTTTCAGGAAATATTGGCGAAAGAACATTGATGCATTTATTGAATTTGTCCAGAGTAAATCGACTACATGTCTGCTTCCGTTGATTTATAAGAAGAACTCCTCTCTTCGACTGCCTGAGAGTCAGAAATCTAATCTTATATATGAGAGCTTCTTCGCTTCATTCGTTCCAACTGACCCTCTAGATTGGACATCTACTTCTAGCTTAGCGATTGCTGCTCCAGAGCTAGTCCCTCTAGATAAGGCTTCTTGTCCTCGGACGACCCGCCTCAAGAAGATGGCCCACAAGCGGGCTTCTAATGCCAGTCTTTTTACTCCTCGCCTTTCCAAAAGGCTCCATCAAGTACCAGATAGACATCTTAGTTTTTTTTTTTTTTTTTTTTTTTTTTTTTTTTTTTTTTTTTTTTTTTTGCTGATTTGAAGTTATTTTCCTTCTTGCGACTATACCTTCTTAAATGAACACTCTTTGCTTTTCCTATCGTACAAGACCCTACTCTGTATTTTGATCTTGCGGTTACTGACGTTCTCAGTACCGTGGATATTGGCCATGTTGCCCGTACCAGGCCGGACTCATACCTGGATGACATTCTCTCTTTGTCTGCAAGACTCGTGAAAATGCGCACCCCTGGTATAGCAGCTATAGATGATGATGATGAGGCTCAGTCTTTCGATCATTTTGGTGACCTTATCCCGTGTATGCATCGTCACCGTCCTATTATGACTGAGAATGTCTCCCCATTGGTCAGATATTCTCCTTCTCGCTCAGTTTCAGGGGACGAGCACTATCTTGGCAATGAGGTTATCGGGGCTTACTGTTCTGATGTTGAGATTATTGAGAACCATGGCTCTGGTGCCACAGGAATTGATGCTGCAGGACATGCTTCTAGAGGAAATGTAGAGATAAGGTGTGTTTCTGAGGGACATGTTTCTGGAGGCCATTCAGAGATGAGGTGTACTTCTGATGGTGCTGAGGGACGCACTTCCAAAGGTAGCGTAGAAATAAGGTGATCCTCTGGGAATAGTGTGAAGGTGGATATGCTAGAAGTCTCTAAGACTCGCTCTGGCACTTATGGTGATTCTCATCCTCCAGCCTTCCTTCATTCTTCAAGGATGACTGCTATTGTTCTAGCTTCATTAGACGTTGAGATCGATCAAGTGCCCCCTGTACGGCCAAATGACCTTGTTGATGCTAGAAACCCTTCAGTTGCCCTAACTTTGCATAATGATTCTCCCTCAGGTAATCTTGCTTTCTGAAGTTTGTCAAGTACTTCTCTCTGTAAGAACTTTTTACTCAAATGGCTTTACTATTCTCTATCCCTAATAAGACTTCTTTATCTTTTCTTTAGTGTTAGCCGCTACTGGGGTCCTGCCTTCACCTACCTCGGACTCTGCTCTAACTGTCTTTGTGACTCCTTATGGCTCTCATTCTTGAGGGGACACACCTGCCTTTGAAATGACTGCTAGAGGCTCTTCATCGCAAGTGCTTTCGAATGTTTTGGATCTAAATCTCAGTGATTTCCACTTTGATAGTGATGCATTTAGCCTTTCCCTTCATTGGCCCTTATTCTCAGGCTCGGGACTTATCCCGGAAGTTACCCCTCCTAGTGGTTCATCTAACCTCGATAGAAATCGGGGAGGTTCTTGAGACTAATACTTTTTTGGTCCCAGTTTCTCCTCCGGCTTCTGGCAAAGTACCATTTCTCTACTATTGGGTAGCTCCTGAGTTTGCATCGGTTCTACAGCTTGTACATTCGAGTTACATTGAAACCTTTGCTTCCTTTGCTTGCTAATGTCCACTCATTCAAACTACTCTACTCGAGTCTTTTGCCACTATCCTGTATAGCTTGGATAGGCAACGGCTATGTGACCTTAACGGGAAAGTAATTGAGACAGCATATCAGGGGATCTCTAACATGGAGCGTCATCAAGTGGATCTATCTTGGCTTCGGAAGTGCATGGATATAGCCTTAAATGCCAGTCGACGGGTACAAGTTTTGTCTGTGCTCGCCTCTTATCAGACCTCTATAGATGAGACAAAGGCAACTCTTCGTGAACTTGAGTAAAGCTATGCTCGGGCCTTAGAGGCTTTAGAGGCACAATCTACTGTTTGTCCACAGGATGTAGATGTGACGGGCAACCTTTTTGAGGGTGTTTTTAGAGGAGATTGAGTTATTGTTTTTACATTACTTTCTGGCCCCTTCAATAAAAATGTTTTATCTAGGACAATGCAATGGAATGACGAAGGTTTTGTTTGTAGAGATTTTCTCACTGTTTTCTCATTCTATTTGATAAAACATTTATCTCTAATGATACAATGGAAATAACAATTACATGCACATGTTCATAAAAGCTGAAATATTCTCATTAATTCTTCAACTTTCTTGACAAAGTTATAAAATATTCATCACAAGTAATGGAACAGACATACATCATAAAGGAAATCAGCTTCATCATAACATAAGGGAAATACAACTTTTAGATAAAGCAAGAAGAATGAAAATGAAATTTAACATAGATGAGTCTATTTATGGATAGTAACGCCTGATGAACTTTGCATTGAACGGGCCTGTTCGGAAGCCATCTTCAGCCCTTATGAGCCTGTAATACCCACTTGAGCTTGCTTGAACCACCTTGTAGGTCCCTTTCCCTTTTGGAGAAAACTTGGGTAGGGGTTGTCCTTGCATGATTGGGCCTACAATCTTCCATATTAGATCACCCTCTTCGAACTTTCTTGGCACCATAGTCTGATTATAGGCTCGGGAGATGGACTCATGATACATTTCCATGACTTTTGTGGCTCTATCTTGATTTTCTTTTAATGCCTCTAGTTTGGTGGTTCGAGGCTCAAGTACCATTCCCGAGGCGAGAGCCATCCGTGTAGATGGTGTCTCCAACTCTATAGGTAACATTACCTTAGACCCATACACAAGGGAGTAAGAAGTTGCTTGAGTTGGATTCTTCTTTGAGGTGCGATATGCCCATAGGGCTACTATCAGCTGTTCAGAACAAGTCCCACAAATTCGTCCATCATCTTACTCATAATTCTTATCAGGGTCTTATTTGTGGCCTCTGCTTGCCTGTTCCCTTTCAAGTAATAGGGTATGGATTTGTGATGCCTCACTTGGTAAGTCTCTAGGAGACTCTTCACATGCTTGTTTATGAAGGGCGTGCCATTGTTCCAAAGGATGGTGTGGGGTACTCCGAACCTGTAAATAATAATTTCCTTGATAAAGTTTGCAACTGCGGGCCCAGTAGTATTCTTCAAAGGGATTGCCTTGACCCATTTTGTGCTCAGCTCCGTGGCTGCAAGGATCCGTTTATATCCATTTATAAGGTCAAAAGCCCAGGTATGAAATGGCCATGATGTTCGAATGCTATGTAGATCTACAGCCGGTGCATGGATCAAGTTTCTATGTTTCTGACAAGTTTGGCACCTTTTCACATGATGGAAGACATCTGACTCCATGGTCGGCCAACAATACCTAAGGTGTATTAGTTGCTCAAACAACTGAGCCCCTACTTGATGTTCAATTTCATGGGCTCTTCAGAGGACTAGTTCCGACTCTTCTTTGGAAAGACATCTCAAGGGAGTGCCCTCAATGCTTCTTCTGTAAAGCTTGTTCTGATCAAGAAAGTAACGCCTCACTCTCCCCTTGAGATGTGCAATGTCTCTCAGGTTCTCAGGTAATGTCCCCTCCTTGAGATAGTCAATGTAGACTTGTCTTCAGTTGGGGGTATCAATTTCGAAGCAACTCTTATCCTCCTGGATGTATGACTAACATTTGGGGCCTTCTTTTTGTAGTTGATTGGAGGCATTCTCCATCTCGGGCCAATAGTAGCCCTGCCTCTGAATCCTTCTGTACAGACTAATATCCCTGTCCCCGTAGGACTTTTCATGAATCTGCTGTAGTTGGAAGCTTGCTTCTTATTGGCCAACACATCAAGCTAAAAATCCGGTATTCCCTCGGAAGTAAAGTTCACCTTGGATAATAAGGAATTGAGCAAGCTTGGCCATAGTCAATTTTTCGACTTTGCTTCTGAGTCATTCGAGGATTTTTTCTCTCAAATCCTTTGGAAGGTCTTTGTTCTCGAGAATTATTGAAGGCTCTGTTCTCTTTTTGATAACGATTGTCACCTCTTCCTCGGGAATGTCAACTCTTACCCCTAGTGTTGTGAAGGCATCTGAAAACTTGTTGTCGGAGTGAGGCACATGCTCTATTTCGAACTTCTGAAATTTGTCAAGAAGCCTTTGGATTGTCGTGCGGTATGTAGCCAAGACAGGCTCTTTTAAGACGAACTGTCTCGAAACTTGCTTCACTATCAGCTTCGAGTCCCCTTGAATTTGAATCTTTTTGATACTGTGTTTCTCAGCTGCTATCAAGCCCCAAATAAGAGCCTCATACTCGGCTTCGTTATTCGAACAATGAAAGTCTAGTTTATAAGACAAATACAATTTTTCTCCACTTTTTCTTGTAAGGACTATTTCGGTTCCACCTTTCCCTCCAGCTGCTGCTCCGTCAAAGCTCAATGTCCAAAAGCTTTCCTTGAAAACCATGGCTGCATGCACTTCTCCTCTTAATTCTTCATTCACTGGTTCATAGTCACCACTTGGAAATTGGGCAAGAAGATCGGCTAAGGCTTGGCTTTTGATCGCCTTGGGAGCTATACTTGTGATCTCAAATTCACCCAGTGCTAATAACCATCTTGCCACCTTCCCGGGTTAAAGCAGGCTTGCTGAGAAGGTATCGAATTGGATCACTTATGGTAACAATCTAAATTTGATTTGCTAAGAAGTAATGTCTGAGCTTTTGGGCGGTGAATACCAAAGCTAAACAATGTCTCTCTACCGATGTATATCGGACTTCTGCTCCTTGAATCTTCCAGTTGATGTAATACACTAGGCGTTCTAGTCTATCTACATCTTGGACCAATAATGCCCCTATGGACTTGGGGGTTGAAGTTAGGTACAACATTAGAGGCACCCCAGACTGCGGGGCTATCATGGTCTGAGGCGAGGTCAAGGCTGCCTTGATTCTCTCGAAGGGCTTTTGGTGCTCTTAGTTCCATTCGAACTTGGCATCTCCTTTTAACAAAGAGTTGAAGGGGGCAGAGATCTCTACAAGTGTTGGGATAAACCTCTGAATATAAGACACCTTCCCGAGGAACTTCTTTAACTCATTTTGAGAATGAGGGGAAGACATTGTTCTGATAGATTTGACCTTGTCTTCATCTGCCTCGATACCATGCCTATGTACAAGAAACCTGAAAAACTTCACGGCAGTCACCCTAAAAGCACATTTGAGAGGATTCATTCTCATTTGGAATTTCTGGCACCTCTTGAATACTTTCTCAAGGTCTTGGAGATGGTCCTCTTCTTTCTTGGATTTCACCACTAGATCATCAACATAATCTTCCACCTCATGATGGATCATGCCATGAAAGATCGCAATCATAACCCTTTGGTAAGTTGCTCCAACATTCTTGAGTCCGAAAAGCATGATTGTATAGAAGAAGTTTTCGAGAAGTGTTCTAAAAGTAATCTTTTCTGTGTCATCTTCAGCCATCTTAATCTGATTGCATCCGCTGAATCCATCTAAAAATGAGAACATCTGGTGTCCTGAGGTGGCATCCACGAGAGTGTCGATGTGAGATAGAGGGAATTCATCCTTCGGGCAAGATTTGTTTAAATCTCGAAAGTCTACACATACTCTGATTTGACCATTCCTCTTCTTCACTAGCACTATGTTTGTCAACCACATGGGGTATTGTATTGGCCGGATGAAACCTGCCTGTTGAAGTTTTTCAATCTCCTCCTTAATTTTTTCCTCGAGATCTGGATGATATTTTCGAGCAGTTTGCTTGATTGGTTTGGAGTTTAGGAACACATCAAGATAATGAGAGACTAGGTCAGGATCTAGTTCGGGCATTTCCTTATATGATCAAGCAATCACATCTGAGTACCTGCTTATCAACTTTAACAATTACTCCCACTTCTTTGGGCTAAGGCTCGAACTTATGAATATCGGCCTTGGAGCATCTTGCCCATCACTCAGATTTATTTCAACAAGTTGTTCGGGTTAAGGCTTCGACCCATCTTGCATGCATTCTGGAGCCACTTCAGGCTTTATTACTATGTTATTGTCAAGAGGCTCTTCTTTTGACTCGAAGTCGGTGGCTAAAGAAACCGACTCCCTGTACCTTCACAAATAGTACACCATCTTGTCCCCTTATCGGACTTTCATCACCTTTCGAGGAATAGGCGAACTTTCTGGTCGAGACATTGTCCACTTACTTGATTCTGCCTTTGGCTTCTTGTCATCTTTGATAACCTCCCAATAAGGAATTTTGATCCCTTAGGCTTAGAGGTGGTGGGATTTTCTTCGACAGATAATTTAGTGAAGTAGATAGCGTCAGAATAATGAGCCTCATGTGTCTCGAAAGGCTTTTCTGTAGCCTGAATTATCACTGTCTTCTTTCCCCATTTAGCCTTAACACATTAATGATAACTCGACGGTACAACCCCATATCTATGCATCCAGGTCCTCCCTAGAATGATATGATAATTTGCCTTAGAATCTATAATATGGAACTTGGTGGCTGAACGAATCCCTCTGATGACTAGATCGACTGTTACGCATCTTATAGTAACTTTCCTTTCTCCACCGAAGACAGTGATGACTATCGACTGCTTCACAATGTGCTCTTTAGAGATTCTGGCCTTCTCTAGAGTAGTGCGAGTCATAATGTTAATAGAGGCTCCACTGTCTAGAAAGACCCTTTTGAACTCAACTCCATTAATAAAAGCAGTCACATAAAGCGGGCAGTTATGAGAAAAGGGATACTTCTGATCAGTCTCAGAGAAAGAAATGGCACTAGATTGCTCTTTTTCCTTTCTCGGGATAGATCCCTCAGTCGACATGCATTTCTCATGGTGTGCCTCGGCTATATTGATGATAGCCTTGGTGATTTCTGTTTTTGCCTCCCTAGAAAGTCCAAGTTGGTCAAAGAATTGCTTGAACTTTATACAGTCTTGTAGGGTTTTGGCATAGTGATCTGGATCTTTCTCCACTCTTGGAGGCTCGTAGTTAACCATCTCCTCAGTCTCGTCAAAATAAGACGCCACATAGACATGGTGTCCTCCTCTTCCGTAGTATTCTTCTCATCCTTCTAGATCGAAGGGACCTTCGACATGAGCCATAAAGGCTCTGCCCTCTGGATCGAGAGCATTTCCACAGTAAACTTGCTCTCTGTCGAGCTCGAAGGTGTCATCTAGATAACAATCATCGTCATCATGATTGGCGATAGCCTCAATCATCGGGCCTTCATAAGCTATCATAGCAACATTCTTGCCATTGTCTCTATGTTAAGGATATGGCTATTCTCGGATGTCTTGAGTCCCTTGCTTTTTGAACCTCAATTCGTCTGCCTCGACTTTATCTCTGAAGATTTTTCTGAGAGTCCAACACTTCTCTGTCGGATGTTTCAATGTGCGATGATAGACGTAAAACTTGGGGCTCTCGCGGTCCTTCTATGATGGAATTTCTTCGACATAAGGCACTTTTAGCTCTCCATCAGCCACCCATTCCTTAACTAGAGATTTTACCTCCTCGATTCCATATGGATAAGAAACATTGCCCTTTTCACCACTATATTGCTTCCTCTTCTGGCCTCTGTGACCCCCTCCTTGTGACTTTCGGGTATCTGGAACAGAGGCAGTAGCAACAATATGTCCACGAGATGATTTGAAGCTAGTCTTGTAACTGGCCTTAAATCCGAACTCTTGAGCTTGAGGAGTGCTAATGTTCCGAGCTGCTTTTATTAGTGCCGAAGAGGTAGGTAGTTTGTGATTAACTAGAAACATTTTGTACCTGATCAATGCCCCTTCTAGACAGATTTGAACCAGATAACTCTCCTTCACTGCTTCATGGTAATCCACAGCCTTGTCCTGAAACCTTTTGACGTAGTCAAGGATGTCCTCACTTTCTCATTGTTTTTCTTTACACAATGTAAGTGTAGTCACCTCCTCCGCCACTTGAAAGAACTTGGAGTGAAATTTGTTAACCAATTCCTCCCAATTTCGAATAGAGTTTGAGGCCAAATTAACATACCAACTATATGCTCGGTTTGTGAGGGACTTAGATAATTCTCTCAGCCAAAGGACATGGTTTGAACCATGAATACCCAGAGTCTCGATAAACCGCAAAATACGCTCTTGAGCATTTCCTTGTTTGCGATCGAATTTGATGAACTTCGGCACCATGTACCCTTCCAAGTATGGATAACTCAATATCTCGATAGTGTAAGGTGGCTTGACATCCGGAACAGGCAAAGAGGGTAAAGCCCTCTTGCCCCGTTTGAGATCGAACATGGCTTGCATATCTGTGAGAGTGAGAAACTATTGAGGGATAGAGTTTGATGGTGGCATTCCCGAAACTTGGCTTATGGACTCGAAGACTGAGCTAGAAGCGACTTGGCCATTCTGATGTTGAGAATTCATCATTAGTGAAGACACTTGATGATATTGGCCATCAACGCCTATGGACAAGCCAGTTGGTGATGGGACATCAAATTGAGGCTTGTAAAGTCCACCGCACGACGCAGCTATACCGGGTTGGGCTTACAAATTTGTTGTCGGTACCAAAAAAGGCCCGCTTGGTACTTGAGTAAGATTTACTAGAGATGTAACAAGATTAGGTACGCGTCACGACCCAAACCCGCTCCTATGGGTTTAGCACCGTAACCGGCCAGTAATCCGAGATTACCGAAGGCCTACTTAACAGTAAAACAATAATACAGAGTACAGGGGCTGACGGAAGCCAAAACAGTAATTAAAAGATGTCCAATGAGCTATGACACTCTGTATGCAAAAAGACTTTTCTATACATATTCACATTCAGAACAAAAACAATATATACATATATCATTTACAGACATTCAGGTTAGGGACCAATCCCCACCATAACAGTACAGTACGAATATCATTCAGTCTATACATAACAGAGACAGATAGGGTGAATTCGAGACATCCCAAAAGCAGCCTTAGCTTGAACAGATCTGGAACCTCGAAGTGAGGCACAAAGGTTGGCTTGACAAAACAAGGTCTTAGCCTGACGCTTCTATCAACGGTCCGGTGCCTGAACACCTATATATATATATATATACATGAGCAATGAGCTAAAGCCCAGTGAATAACATATGCGTAAAGAGGTTAAGAATGAATGTCCTTTCAGTATTGAAAACAGTCATTTATCAGTATATCTGTCATTCAGTTTGTGGCTCATGTTTCATGCCATAACAGTCATTCAAAAACTATAATAGTCATATGTGGTACATCCAATGACAAAACAGTACAGTAGGTCTTAACAGACCGAACAGTCAATTGATGGCCATTATATCAGTAAACAGTAGTGGTTCCAAACATAGGAACCGACAGAGATCTCTGTGACAGTAGCAGTACAGTACAGTACAGCAACAGTAAATTGCTATGGATGCCACGAATACAGTTCGCAAATAGGACAAGCATTCATTCAGTAAGAAATATCATTTCAGAAAGCA